GGGTCCTTACGCTTGCAAGGCAAGCCACTGAACCACTAAGCTAAATCCCCGGCCCTATAAATGTTTTGTTTTTAACAAGTGCGTCCTTGTGAACGTTTTTGTGGCCTTTGTGTCTTGTTTGTCTACATAGTTTCTCATTTCTTCTGCTAGATGTGAAGTTTTTGTCCACAAGAAGGCAGCTCTTGGCACACAGTAACCCCTCCATAACTGTTTCTTGACTACGTGGACAGGGTCAGAGGTGTCAGTCTGTTTCGCTGAATGGGACTGAGTTGGTCCCCAGTCTCCGAGCAGGGATGGTCTCTGGTTGCAGCAGGGCCAGGCAGGGCAGAGCAGTGGTGCGTGGTAGGACTTACACCTTTCTCTGTCTCTCTGACAGGCCTGGCAGACCCGTCTGCATTGACACAAGCAGTTGCTGCCTACCAAGGCTGCCATTTTATAGGCATGCCAGAATGTGAGGTGAGTAGTAACCCGGGTCTTCATCTCGTGTTCTGTCCTGTGTGGGTGTGAGAGTGCTTCCTCTCTGTTGTATTGGGCCTGCTGGCTTTTGAACAACCACCGTGTGGCACCTGAGACTCCTCTAGAGGTAAGACCTCGATACCTACAAGGTCACGTTTTCCGCCTGGCTCAGAGGGAGTCCCCCAGGATTCCCAGGAAGGAGCCCAGCAGAAAGCTTCTGCAGGTTCACCCCAAAAGCAGCTTCCTACTCATCTACTTTATTTATTGAGAGGCTTAAGAACATTTTCATTTAGTAAAATGATCTTCGGTGTAAAAAAAGTGAGAACCACTAGTGGGGGCTCACCTCTCACTTGTGACTTCACTCTGGTTATCTGGCCTGGGCAAAAAAGGCAGATAAGTTCCGGTGGGAATCTAAAACTAACTAGAAGTGTCAACACGGAGTGCCAAATAGAAACTCTGGTGCCCTCCAGCCTGTAACACGTGTCCTTCCATGGCCCAGGTGCTGCTGGCCCAGTGTGTGGTCTACTTCGCCAGAGCCCCAAAGTCCATTGAGGTGTACAGCGCCTACAATAACGTCAAAGCCTGCCTGCGGAACCACCAGGGCCCCCTGCCGCCGGTGCCCCTGCACCTGCGGAATGCGCCCACCCGGCTGATGAAGGACCTGGGCTATGGCAAGGGATACAAGTACAATCCCATGTACAGCGAGCCCGTGGAGCAGGAGTACCTGCCCGAGGAGCTGAGGGGTGTCGACTTCTTCAAGCAAAGGCGGTGCTGACTCGGCGGTGCCCGCAGAAGGGTGCTGCTTCCCAGGGGGGCTGGAGGGGAGAGCAGCAGGGTGACAGCGGCTGCCTGCTGCAGGTTAGGACAGACCAGAGCTCTGTGCCAGAAGGCCACGTGTCTGGGGGTGGAGGCGGTTCCTTCAGCTAAACGTGTCACATTGAAATTGTGTTCATTTGCACCTCGTGCAATGGTTATGCTTATGAATATCTGGCAGCTTTGTGCAATGATTAATGTTATAAGGAATTATCTATTTTGTCATAGTATTTAAGTCATAATGTCATTTCAGAATTCAGTTATGTAGGTTTTTTTTCTTTAAAAAATGTATATTCTGGGTAGTTTCAATTGGTAAAAAAAATGTAATTGTGATTTAATACTGCATAGTGTTTTGGGTATTTTTTTTATATGCAAAGGTCTTATGAGCCAATAAAACTATTTCAAAGTACTCATTAATTCTTTTAATATTTTTCCTGTGTGAGATGGGGACCAGCATCTGTCACCACCATACTTCCGTAGCTAGAAACTGAAGGAGCAAGCCTCATAGGTGAGAAAATGGAGGATCATAGGGAGGCAGCATTACATTTTTTTGAAAACTAACAGCATTTTTAAGGGTTGCATATTTGCAGTTGTAAGTAGCCAGTAGGAAGCCAGGCAAGGGTGCATGCCTCTTAATTGTGCTACTTGGGAGGCTGAGGATCGTGAATTTGAGGCCAGGCGCGGCAAGTGAGATTTGTCTCAGAAACACAAGTACAAAGTAAAAATGGTCTGTGAAAGACTCTAGGAGTCCCTAGGCCATTTCTTCTTTGCAACCCTATATTTCAAATCAGAAATTCTTGTGTTTTGTTTCCTGAAATTAAATGTCCCTGTCCTTCAGCTTAGTGTCCACTGGACCCACTGCTAATTTTCATCACCCTCCTTAATCACTGCTCTGCACATTTCCCACACCAGTCACACCCACGCCTGATACAAGCTCCTCCATCCCAGCCTCCTCTGGAACAGCTGTTGGTGCCATCCTGAGGCTTTTGCCTTTTTCCACAGTGAAAGTTAGTTTCCTGGGTGTGCAGCCCTGTTCTGTGGTTTTGGTGCGGCAGGCCTGGTGAGAGCATGCTGAGAGGCTGTGGCCTGCGACACTGGACTAGCTGTGCGCAGCTACCTTTTTCCACTTGGGATTTCCTCTGCCATCACATCTGGGTTGCCAGACTCTGTGCTTTTTCTTTCTTGCCCAGGTGCACACATTCTTCAGCAGCTTTGCGGGTGAGGGTGCCAGGGAGGGGAGCTATCTGCAGACCCTCAGAGGCTGAGCCTGTGTTTACTCTCCGTACACACTCATAGAGCACAGAGAATCCTTGTTCACTGGCTCGCTGTGTCCACCTCACTGTCCCAAAGTTTGAAGACATTCTGCTCATGATCTTTGTGAACTCAGATTTATCTTCAGGTTCTGGGCAAGTTTCCTGTTTTAATTCATTCACCAAGTGTTGAGTGCTTGTTTCATACTAAAAACTTGTTAGAAACACCTCAGTGAGCAGAAAATATAAAAATTGTTCTTGAAATAGTGGGAAAAAAGTTTGTTAGGCAATGAGAAGTAGGATACTAATAATGAGCTGAGGGACTGAAATAGGCGTGGTCAGTCTTAGCATAGCTAGAGTGGACTTCAAGGAAGTACCTTTCACATGCCTGGGAAAAGATCATTCCAGATAGGACAGCAAGTGCCAAGGTCCTGAGGAAAGAAAGGAAAGAGGAGCTCAGCAGAGCTGGAGTGCAGGGGGAGATGGGAAGTCAGGGCTGGTGAGGCCTTTCTGGTCACGGTAAGGGCTTTGCCTTAACCAGGGTTCCTGGTGAGGGAGTGTCATGATGAGACTTGAGTTTTGTAAGGCTCACTTCTGCTTCTGCGTTGAGACTAGAAGATTAGGAGGATTGGGTGGAAGAAGGGTAATCAATTTGCGGTATTGCAGGCCAGGTGGTGTAGAGATGGTGAGAAGCAGTTTGCAGTGGATGGTGGGCTGTGTCCAGTGCAATGTGTGAAACAGGAGCCTGGATGGCCGCCATCTACTGAGAGGGTCGAATGCTCACCTGCCCCAAGCACTTGGCAGGGGCTGGTTTTTGAAATCCTCAGTAAGAATAAGCCAAGTACCTTTCTGTTTTCAAGATGAGGTGGAGCACAGAGTTGTACTGCCTCGCTCAGGACCACCCAGCTGACCCGGGGAGGCAGGGCCTGATCTAGGCAGTCAGTGCAGGGCCCATGGTCTCACCTTGTCGCCTGTGGCCTTGGTTCTCTGCCCTCTTTCTGGATCTGCTAGAGCTCTAGCTGTGGATGAGTCCTCCTGGACCATGGATATCCTGTTTTCCTCCCCATCCTTTTGTCTTTTTGCTTTACTTCCTGGAGATGCCTTCAGCTTGGTTATTTTTTACTCCTTCATTGCCATCATCCTGCTCCAAGTTTCCAAGAACTTGCTTTTGTTCACTTAATGTTTTTTGTTGCCTGCTTTTGCTTTCATTTTGTGGTACCCTGTATCTATTTACTTGTTTGGTGACTACTTATCTCTCTTAGGATATTAATTTTAAAATTTCTCCCTGCATATCCCTTTTCCTCTGTTTTGGCCTCTGTCTTTTGTGTCTGTTGTGCCTCGTGTGGATGGTGAAGAACTGAGAAGCAGACTGAAGGTCTGTGCATATAGAGCGGGGTGCTGCTCACTTTGTTCCTTGCTGAGCCATTTGCTAGGAACCCCGGAAGTCAATCCCAAGGGCTTTCCAAGCTCTTGCCTGGCTAGAGAAACTACTGCTGCAGAGTAGGACAAGTGTGGCTTCCTGAGTTTGGATGACAGCAGAAGAGCAGTTGTCATACATCACTGTGTGTCCTCTTGGTCTTCTGGCTGTGAAGTGGGGCCCACACCCTCAGCTGTACTGGGGTCCTCCTGTTCAGAGATGCTCCAGTGGCAGGAGTGAGAGGAGATGTCAGGAGACCATTTCCCTCAAGCCTCCCGCCCTGTGCTCTGCCCTCACTCCTGCCCACACATCTCCTGTGGGGCGACCTACTGGCAGGACCAACCGGAAGTTTTCCTGGTTGAGAAGCAAGATGAGAAGGGTGGAGAGGTCAGAATGGGCACATGGAGAAGCCCCAATGTGGACAGATCCCAAGCCAAGGGACTCAGCCACTTATCTTAGAAGAAACAAAATTCTTTCTGCAAGATTTCATACTTTGGAAACCGAAGAGAATAGTCGGAACAACTAATAAATAATGCAGGAGAGTGGCCAGATGTGAGCTGAATATACACACCAGTAAGCTTGGGCCTACACTTTACACCCAGAAAACATAACAAGAAATGCCCCATCCTTCATAGAAGCCTAGAAATAGCGGAGAAGAGCAGGACTTACATAGAAAACTACATATTACTAAAACAAGAAACCTGAGCCAAAGTAGAAGGAAGCCATTTTCCCGAGCAGGTGCCACTTTAAATTGATATATGTTCCCATCATGCTTGGTAAAATCTATTTTTATATCCCCATGTTTGGGATAGATGACATGAAAAGTACATATTTGTTGAGTGACAGAATGAGCAAGTAAATAACCTTGCCTTGAGATGTTTATGTAGATGTCTCAAAATAGAAGTCCTCGAACTCGCTGGCCACAGGAGTCTGGCAGCTTTCTGCCAGGAGAGAGCATCCTTGGGTGCTGCTTGTTAGCCAGCTGCCCGCCCGGTGCAGGTGACCACACTCAGGCCAAAATCAGGCTTCAATCGTTATCATTAACCTGGAATATTGAGCTTTCAAATAGAGCTTATTTGTCTGATTACAAAGCAGTACGTGATTATTGCAAGAGGGGAATTCAAAAAAAAGGGGGAGTGAGATATCCACAGAGAAAATGAAAACAACTTTAATATTTTCTCTTAATGATAACCCTTGTAAACATCGTAGCATATGTCCCTTGGGTATTTTTACAACGTGTGTGTGTGTGTGTGTGTGTGTGTGCAAGTGAAAATTGGAGATCTGTGTCATCTGTTTCATAGCTTGCTTTTTCTCACCTGCTCACATGATTTTCCACACCCTGAGTTGATCTTTCTGTATGACTTTTAATGGCAGCCTGTGGAGCCACCAGGGGGCAACACAGCCTTAATTTGCACATCCCAAGATGTGCCATCCACACGGGGTGTGACAGACTCTAAGAAATGGATTTAGAAGAATGAGGAGCTCACGTCACTCTCGCTGCCCTCAGACTCCATCCTCAGCTCTTTGACCAACTATATGCCTAGTGAGAATCCTGGGCCCAGAAGAGGGTCAGCTTGGGTTTGAATCTTGTCTGGGCCACTTCTCTATTCTGTGACCTTGGCCATGATTATCATCTTTGCTTCTCACCTTTCTCATCTATACAATGGGGAATGAAATATTTCTTAATGACCGTGGAAAGTACGTGATTTGAAATGTGGCATTGCTTGGAATAACGCTTGTCACATAGGGCTCACCAAGAGCCATTGCCGTGAGCCAGTCTTCTGATTTCAGCTCAAACATCACTCTCTTAGGGAAGCCTTCTCAGACCCCTCAGCTTCCCCACCAGACATGGGCTAAGCCCAGGACATGCTCAGCAGCTCCAGAGACTTTGCTCCTATCTCGTGAGTCATGATTGATAATACCCAAGGCCTGCACGCTATGGGCTGGATGTTGTTCCCCTGCACTTCCTCCGAAGGCCAGCCCGCATCCTCTTTTATTTCCTTCTCTGAGCAGTCAGGCTGAACTGGGGGCCTCCCTTGGGAACAGCAGAGGGTCTCATTTTCCAAGAACACTTAATACTTAATTTTGGCTGCCATCAATAATTGCAAACCTGCACTACTGCCTGCTGTATTCTGGGCACTATTCAAAACATTCTCCAATATGGTCACAGTGTCTAAACTGAATACAGAAGCTAGAACTGCTATATCCAAAGAGGAACTGGGGACCTGGGTCAGTCAACTGACTTCCGAAGATCACAGAGTTAGGACTAGAACCCACAGAGCCCAATCTGCCCAGCTGTCTTGCTGGGGTCCTCAGACTTGTGTGCATTAGACTCACTAGGGGGCTTTGTAAACATCTCAGAATTTCTAATTCCTCCCATCTTCTAGTAAGTTCTCAGACAAGGTTAATATCATGCTTTGAGAACCACCACACCTCGCTATGTCGTAAGTTTTCAAGGACAAACAGGCTGTTTTTGTAGAGGACTATAATACTGATGATGCCCAAAGCAGGCCGTGAAGAGTTAATGCCGCAGTAGGCTTGTTTAGAGAACTGAGTCTGGCTGAAGCCTATCTGCCAAGGTCAGAGTAACTCGCACCCAAATTTCATTCCCACAACTGAAACCTTCAGACAAGAAG